CCTAACATTTGATTGTACTATTTTTGCACTCAAATGCAAATGTTTATTTTAAATTCGACTAATTTAAATTTTTTTATTCACAATCTCCTCATCACAGGCAGGCACAGCACTCAATTCAGCATGTGTTCATGTTTGTGTGTGCTGTCTGCATCACTCAGAGCAAGTGCCTATATCGTGCACTATATCGAACATTTTATATATATATATATATATATATATACACACACACGTTAGAAATTATAACATGTGTTGTGCTCAATCTATATAGGCTATGCTTTATAATTGAATGTTTTTTTCATGCACCTCTGAGAGAACTGAATGATCTACCACTTTACATTTCCCTTCATTAGTGAAATTCAAGATTCACCTGTGCAATTCATTAATTCAGGATACATTTACAAAAACCAGTATAATATAAATGTATAGAAAATATGGTTGACAGTTTATGACAACTAGTTCAACCATTTAATTGAACCACTGACAATGACTATTCAACACATCAAATATAATATATTTTCATTAACATGACAAACAATTAATAATGTAGGAAACAGCAGACAATTGTACATAATCAATGTACCAAAGCATTGGCAATTTGTTAAAAAGTATGAGAAATTGCTTTTATGATGTGCACGAATGACTAAATGATGTGGAGGTTGAACAAGTAGTTTTGAGAATTTCAGTTGGGATCTGAAAAACACTAAATGTAGACATGTTCTAAATCGTATATCCTTATCTGTAAATGTTAGAAAATTGTGTTTTGCTTTAAGTCCTGTCCTGAAAAGAACAAGCGAGTCTCTGTTGAGCCTCACAGACTTCAGTAAATGAGTGTGCAATGAGTCTGACTACACATTGTGCTATTCTGGCTATACATTTTGCTAAAATGTTTCTTGTTGGACATTAGATGTAGAGTTAAAATTCATGTAGTTTTATGCTAACAGTAACTGTATAGAGACTATGGTAATGGGATAATGTTCAGATAAGTGAATGTGTGTTCTTCATCCAGTTAACAAACTTGTAGTGATTTTAACTTCTGATTTTTGTCCTAGAACATGATGTTCATATTTTAGTCCTTTTTTGCACAAACCAATAAGGTGATGGATTGTTCAGAAAAGGTCATCTCAATCTGTGATCAGTGAAGTACAGTGAAGCGTGATAATAAACATTATATTTTTGTATTTTTTTCCCCGTACAGTGAACGAATGGCTGCTGAAATAGAGCCAGAATGTGGACCAGCCCAAGACAACATGAAAAAGAACACTAACAACATGAAAAAGAACAAAGAGAAATTCTCATGGATCAGTACAGAATGAAGACTGACATATGTCCTGCCAGATACAGTCATGATGTTGTAAAGAAAAATAACCAAACCCCAGCAAGAAGAGACTTTGCACCCATGGCAAAGAGATCCAATTTCATACATCCAATCAAAACTAGTGACATATAGTTATAACTACACAAATGTTTTGATACCTTTTTTGGGAAAAACACTAACAAAAAATATAACATTTATTTCATAGGCTCTTCACAAATGGAACTGAGTGTTTTTAGCCTTTGTACATATGGACAACTTGCTTCCAATCTGGGCAAAAGGGACAGGACATTGAACCACCCTACCAATACAGCAACATCCTTGAAACATAACTGCATTCTCAATCTTTATTCTCACTCACGCTGTGGAGAGGAGGGAGAGGCAGCCTTGCAGGTTTATTGTCAAGACTAAACATCATAAACATCATAAAGACGACTATGGAGTGATGTCTGTGAAAAAAAAAAAGTCTTGGCCTTGTAAATAAAATTATTCATGCTGAAAATGAATATGTAAAGATACAAATAAACATTAAAAAAAATATCAGAGGGAAAAATAAATGAAAAAAAATTTAAATATTTTACGCTTGGCGCACATTCTGGAGCAGAGCTGATGCCTTTTTTCTGTTTCATTGTTTACAATGGTCATACACTGTGTTTGATTAATGTTATCGGCCCAATAAATGTGTTTGGAAAGTTCATTTTTGTAAATATTTTTCAGTGTCTTTGACTGCCCATGTAAAATGAATTTGTTTTACATAAGCATTAAATATCCTCAAAAAAGAAGAAAAGCATACATTTGCTCGGAGTTTGGTGTGGACGTCTTAGGAGCTGTTTAAAGGTGATTCGTTTAATTTTTCACTTGAATCAGCTGGTTTAAAACGCATTATTTTTGTTGGTGAGATGATTTCTAATACGTTTAATGGGGCTGAAGCTGCTTCAAGAAACACTGAAGTGTTGATTTGCTGTGGACTTCGTTGCCATCAGTGAGTGAAAGCCGCATTGATCCCCCCACACCACCTATTGGTTTAATTATATCTCAATCAATGAAGCATACCTCCTGTTTTATAACCCTGGTGTGAGGAAAAACACGGCCTGTGATTCTAGTATTTTATCTCAATACCTAACAGATGGCTAATAAAAAGATAACGAGAGGCAGAAAGTTTCAACAGCAAGCACTCATGGTTATAGTGGCCATTTTTCTATCAGGCCTGCAGTGGAAGAAACAGAATTAAACCTTTTGATAGATAAATACTCCCTGTGTTTTACTCTTGACAAATAATCACCCCCGGACTCAAACACCTCCCATACAGTATATCTCAGTGGAGCACACTTACTTTTCCTCTCTGTGATACCTGCTCCTGCCAAGGACGATAAATATCACAAATCTGAGGAGGCGGCACTCATAAGATGTTCAGAAGATATTAATGATATTACATTAATAAGGCAATGAAAAGGTCTTTGGCTCTCAGGGAATTTAAGTGCAGCATCTGCTGCATGAAATGATGTAAGACTTTTATTAAAAGTCCATGGAGACACAAATGGCCAGATGCTCAAAGGCATAAAAGACAGTGAATGTGGTCAGATGGCATTTCCTGGACAAACATCTATAACAAACAATAATAACAATCATTTTGAATGTCAATAACAACTGTCATCTTAAGAGATTTCTCTTAGGTTGTAATTTGCACAAAATCTGTCAATAACATGTTCAGATCATATTTTAGAAATGAGAACTAGGAAACTGAATTGAATAAATTCTTTAAAAAATTCTTTGCATAGCGATATTTTCTGAGAAGTATATTGATTTTGCCCCCCAAATCTTATTCTATTTTATTGTAATGCAAAACACAAAATTAGATATTATAATTATATTATAAATAATATATTAGTATTTTGTACGGCCTTTATGCATATATTTATATATATATATATATTTTAGTATATAGTAATATGTGACCCTTGACCACAAAACCAGTCATAAGGGTCAATTTTTTGAATTTTCATATATCATTTCTTAATATCCTAATGATTTTTGGCATAAAAGAAAAATCGATAATTTTGACCCATACAATGTATTTTTGGCTATTGCTACAAATATACCCAAGCGACTTAAGACTGGTTTTGTGGTCCAGGGTCACATATAGTAAATATAGTAAAGAGAATTAAATAAGAAATACAACTGAGAATAGGATTTACCTCTATATGTATGTGTGTGTGTGTGTGTGTGTGTGTGTGTGTGTGTACAGTGCCACCCACTAATATTGGCACCCTTGGTAAATATGAGCAAAGGCAGCTGTGAATAAATCTGCATCATTTATCTTTTAAAAAATTCACAAAATTCTAAACTTTCATTGAAGTAAAACAATTGAAAGTGGGGGGAAACTCACATTATGAAATAAATGTTTTTCTCTAATGCATGTTGGCTATTGGCACCCCTAGAAATTCTTATGAGTAAAATATCTGAAGTATATTCCTATTCATATTTTTTTTTTAATTTAGCACACCAGGGTGATTATGAACATAAAATTGTCCAGCCAAGACTTCCTGTTCCACAGGATTATAAATATGAGGAACACAAAGCCAAATTCCCTTAATCATCCATCACAAGGAGTAAAACCCAAGAATATAGTTCTGATGTGCAGAACAAGATTGTTGAGCTTCACAAAATAGAAAGTGGCTGTAAGAAAAGAGCTAAAGCATTGAAAATCCCCATTTCCACCATCAGGGCAATAATTAAGAAGTTCCAATCAACTAAAGATGTTACAAGTCTGCCTGGAAGAGGACGTGTGTCTATATCGTCCTAATGCACGGTGAGGAGGAGAGTTTGAGTGGCCAAAGACTCTCCACGGATCACAGCTGGAGAATTGCAGACAGTAGTTGAGTCTTGGGGTCAGAAAGCCTAAAAGATATATCAAACAGCCCCTACATCACCACATGTTGTTCGGGAGGGTTTCAAGAAAAAAAACTCCAGTATATTCAGTTGTCAGACATGACTGGAACTTCAAATGGGACTTGCTTCTATGGTCAGATGAAACATAAAAAAAGCTTTTTGGCAGCAAACCTACTAGATGGGTTTAGTACAAACAGGGATAAAAAGTACCCCATGCCCACGGTTAAATATACTGCTGGATCTATAATGTTGTGGGCCTGTTTTCTGCCAGAGGTCCTGGACGTCTTGTTCAGATGCATGGCATCATGTATTCAAATACCAACAGATAAAAAAAATCTAAACCTGACTGCCTCTGTAAGAAATCTTATAATGGACCATGTTTGGATCTTCCATCAGGATAATGATCCAAAACAAACATCAAAATCAACACAAAAATGTGTCACTGAGCACAAAATGAAGCTTCTGCCATGGCTGTCTCAGTTCCCTGACCTGAACCCTATAGAAAATGAGTGGGGTGAACTGAAGAGGAGCAGAGAAAATCATTTATTTCATAAAGAGTTTCCCCCCACTTCCCATTGTTTTACTTCAATAAAAATGTAGAATTTTGCAAATGTTTTGAATTAGAGATCAAAAGGATAAACAATGCAGATTATTTTCACAGCCACCTTTGCTCATATTTACCAAGGGTGCCAATATTAGTGGGCGGCATTGTATATAATGCGAGCGCTGAATGGTTTAAACACTGCCAAGAATTAAAAAGAAATGCAATTTATAAACTTTAGTGACGATGCAACAGTGCCTCGATTGTGCAAGTGACAATTCCTGTGTAAACTGTGCAGCATACAGCTCGCTTATAGTGCAGACGCGACATGATTTGAAGCCATTTGCGCATTTTGAGAAAGAGAGCGTGTGTGTGGTGATTCACTCACGCTGTTTGTGAAATTGTCTCACAGAAAGCTTTCAAATTACTTTATAGGTTATTTAATGAAGAATATGAATTGTACCTCACTTTCTGCATTACAATTATTTCACCCGCACCGGACAGAGCCAGAGACGGTGCCACTGCATGTCGTGGCAAACCTCTCACGGCAGGCGTGTCATCAGCTTGAGATCAGATTTTTGAGATCGGCCTTTTTAGAGACCACCGATCAATCATCCCAAAGCGATTATCGGCCGATAGTGATTGGTAGCCGATCAATCGGAGCACCCCTAGTATATTATATATATATATATATATGTGTGTGTGTGTGTGTGTACGTATATGGAAATGGTGAGTTAAATGTGACCTGGACATGTTCACATGAGATTTTCACCCAGTAGGTCTCTTGCTGTAATTCAGTCATGATTTTTTCCTCTATGTGCTGTTTTGTGTTCTCTTTCCTTTCTACATAGCTTTTTTTTTTTTTTTTTATCACATCCTAAAAGACATCCAGCTTCTCATTGTGATTCCCAGTGCCTGCAGGTGACTGGTAAACTCTTTGAAATCTATCAGTCTTTGAGAGAATGTGCTCTCTCATGGTTGCCACTCAGCTTCTCCTGAAGACAATCGTTGCTAGTCATCCTTGCTTTGTAATCCAATGAAAACAAGCATTAGGGCCAAGAAAGCCACATGAATTCCCATAA